GAGGGGAAGAAGTGTAGTGGACGCTAAGAAACTCCACAGCCTGGAGCCACAGAGTTGGAAGGAGAATGCCAGGAGCAGCTTCGTTCCCTCTACTGCCGCCAGGTGTCCTCGTGGGCTCTGTAATTACAGTAGGGGGAGGGGGTGTGTGTGTGTGTGTGTGTGTGTGTGTGTGTGTGTGTGTAAAATGAGTCATTGGAAAACAAACTAGAAAGCCATTGGGGGGGTCCAGGAGGAGTGTGTAGGCAAGTCTGGAGAGAAGCAGTGGAGGCATTGGGGCAGGAGACTGCAGAAAAATTGAAGATGAATTGTTAAAACAATGATTTTAAAAAAAAAAAAGTGAAATACTTGATGGTTAGCAGCCCCGCAGCAGGTGGAGGAGCCTGAGCCCTGGCAATGGGGCAGGCAAGGGATGGGTTTTCAGTGTCTTGGACTAACATCAGCCCAGACTCCAGCCAGGAAGCAGTAAGCCAAGCCAGTGTCTAGAGCCCTGATATCCTGGGGAAGAGAAATACACAGGAGACTGAAGGAGAGAGAAGAGGAGGAAAGAAAAGAAAGAAGGTAGTAGAGGAGATGGTTCGAGTCTCATAGACTGAACATATTGTAACCGCCAGGAAGAAAATCTCAGTGTGGACAACAGAATCACTAGCACAGAACCAGATTGATCCCTGGTGAAACTCCTTTGACCTGAGCAGGGACAGATATGGCCCTTTGGTTTGGGCAGAGCATGCACCTAGCATAGGGAAGAGAAAGATGTACAAGCTGAATAAAGGCAACTGCTGAGAGATGCAGCCATGGAGATGTCAATGAGGATGCTGCGTGGATGCAGAAGAGATGGAAAACGATCATAGAATAAGGAAGACGCTGAACAGGTGAAGAGCAGACACTGATATGGATTGGATCACCCCCCACCCCCAGCCAAGGGCAGACAGAAAGGAGGTGCTGGAAGACGCATGTTGTACAGGTGCAGAGCAGATGCTGAACAGACCTACTAAGCAGAGTCAGGTGCAGATGCAGAGACTGGAACTGAACAGATCCAAACCCGGAGCAGACCGCAGATTCAGAGCAGATGTAGCTGCAGAGCATTTCTCTTGGCGACTACTTGGGGCTCCCCAGTGCTGGAAGACATTGGAGGGCACGCAGTCATATGTAGTGTACAGCCTGGGAGATGCTGATTTATCGCCAGAAGTTCCTGGGTACTGTTTACCAAAGGAGCTGGGATGCAGTGCAGGCAGTCTCAGAATACTGTCAAGACTGCCAGGTTTATGTTAATCTTGACACATGATGAGTTGGAATATAGGTTACAATGTGGTAATGCAACAAATTTCACTTAATCTCTAGCAGACTGCACTCCATATGGTTAGATGATTAGCTCTCTTCTCAGGAGGCAGCAGGACTCAAAGAGCAGGGGAGGCTGCATGGCTGGACCAAAGGGCATTAGCAAACTATTATTGCAGTATTTATACACTGCTAAAGCACCATTAATGGTGCTTTGTATGCCTACGGGAAGATTAGATCTCTACCCCAAAGAGCTTACAGTCTGGTAAACACACTGAAAAGAAACAAAGTTTGGATGTGATATAGGATTGGCTTGCACAACTGGGTAGCTGAAGATCATGCAAGAAGAGTAGATTTGAGTCTGGGAAGGCAGAAGGAGAACTGTTGGGGCACAATGGAAGAGGGACCTCCTCTAAGTGGAGGAACAATGTGACAAAATGGGGAGAGGTGGCAGGCCAGTAATGAGGTACACCGGTACAGCTGGGAGTGAGAAGAGGGCTCTGGATTAGCAAAGGATGCTGCAGGCAAGGACTGGGATGCTGAGAGGGGAAGCTTCCACAACTTTGGGCTCTTTATTTGCTGAATGCTTGCTAGTCTCCTATTGTCATTAGCACTACTGTTGCGTAACTTTCCCCATCAATAGTCGGGATGCCCGCATGGTGCCAGAGTGCCATATTCAAGAGATCAAGGTGCCTGTGAATGCCTAGGGGTGGGCAGTGCATCTCCCACTATCCAGAGGAAGAGACATCTTGGGAAGTGGGTCACCATAGGAGAGAGGATCAAAGTTGCTTGTGGTGGAAGCAAGCAGAACCTACAGCAATCTGTGGAGTTTCACCTACCTACATCAGGGCTGAATTTGATCCTCTGTCTTCAAAAGTGGCTGGGATTCAGCTTTCCCATGACTGTCATTCTGCCAGAAGGTGATCTCAGACTGTATTTTGAGCCAAAAGCCAGCCTCCTCTTGGAGGGAGGAGGAGAGCTTAATCCATCAAGGGATCCTGGGCTAATACAAACAAGTCTGAAACGTGTGTGTGTGTGTGTGTGCGCGCGCGCGCACGCACACCCCACCCCACCCTCCCTCCCACCTGTTCTAATGCTTCATCAGCCAGACAAACTCACTGGCTTGGATAATGAGCTAAAAAATGAGGACAGCTGAGGAGCTAAGGGGGCAGCAGGGAGAGGCTGGTTGTTCTAGGAAAAGGGATGAAGATGTTCAGGAGCAGACTCCTCCCTTGTGCATGGTGAAGGAATGCTCTTTCTGCTGTGCTTCCTGTGGCCATTGCCCAAGGTAAACACCTGAGAGAGAAGGTCTCCCTTTCTTAAGAGAGCAGGGCATTCTGCCTCAGGCAGTCACCAAGGCCCTCCCAGTGCAGTGTCCCTGGGGTGAACAGCAGAAACTGCTTTCATCCTTTCCCCATCCTTGCATGCAGTAGTGGGTGCATGGAGAGCAGGTGGGCACCAATGGCTTGAAAGTCTCCTGATTTTTGTTTCCAGAGGACCAGTAATGCTACTACAGTCCTGTCCCCATGCCTGGCTACCTACACCATCCACTCTGATAGACCTGAGGTAGCAGTGCCAGACCACTTTCATCCTTTTACCTGTTCCCAACCTGTACTCTGAGGTACACTCCACCATTAACAGGTGGTGTTAGTGACAGGGCTGCTTTGTCACCTGCAGCCAGCTTCTGAGGTAAATGGCCTATTCCAGAAAATGCCTCCAGAAAGATACAGCCAGAGACCTAAAGATGTCTGGGGACAGCAAGTGAGGAGCAAACGGCAGAAGCTTGAAGCAGTCTCCCTGTCAGAGGTGCAGATGGGTTGGGTACAGCCTGTAGGTCACCTGGATCTCCTCACCTCCTATTCTGTGCTGTACAGGCAGGCATGAGTGGGACAGGCCACCATGTCGGGGAGCAGCAGGAGCCAAAGCTCTCCCAAGTCAAAGGCGTGTTTGGAGGCTCGGATGTATAAGAGGAAGTAGGGAGAGTCTGATATCCATAAAAGAGGAGAGAGGTTACCTCATTTCCACCCTGCCCCCCCAAGCACATTTAAGCAGAGAAAATCCTACAAGAACCAATCTTAAAAGATGACTAACACTTTTCTAGTCACTCATGGCCCTCCGCTTCAGGCCTCTAAGGTCTCCTGAGATGCACAGAAGCTCAGTTGCATCTGGTTTCCAATCACTGGCTGGATCTGGGCTCTCAAAGTGTGGGAGTGGAATCTGGCTTTTGCTTGGCTTCAGGTTGGTGAAAAGAGGCCATTGTTGAGAGCAGCTTGGGGAAATGGTGCTGTTCTACCAAACAACCTTGGTCAGGCCAAGTAATCCACTGCCTGTACTTGCAAGGGATAGCATGTAAAGCTTTTGTGAGAGCTAGTGGAACCACGTAGCTTTGGTATACAAACAAACAACCCAGCTCTACCTCTCCTTTACCTCAGACATGCACAGCACCATCTCCAGTTCTCTCAGGTAGAAACTTCATTAAATGCTGAACCCAGATGTGATTGAGGTGATGGTGACAGAGAGGGAAGAAGAGGATGTTTCCTGGGTGGCATCCCCTGCTATAGAAGACATCAGTCTGCTCTAAGATTGATCAGTCAGTCTACAGCCTGTGGGCTCCTCAGTGCTAATGGAAACCAAATAGCCATAAGGACAAACAACCACTTTAATAGTGACTGGCCAAGAGTCAGGGTCAGTTACTGCAAATTGTCATGGCCACAGATGAAGTACCCTCAAGAAACTCTAGCTGGTAGAAGACACAACAGCTTATCTGCTTAGGAGGGTCCATGTGAGTCCATTGTGCTGGAGCTCCATTTTGCAAGGGTGTCCAATAAAGTCCAGTCTGTAATCTGTCCTGATAGTCAAGTGCCTCCATAGGATTGTCTCACTCCTTGGGAGGTTGCCTCTCCTTCTGCAGCCATGACCTCCATCAACAGTCACATCCCACTAGATCAATGAAACAAGCAACTAGCAGGGAAGTCCCACAGGTGAAGGAGATGGTGCTTACATAGGAGCTGGACCTATGCATTGGAGCTTGCTACCACAAGAGACCAGACTTGAGCCCAGACCTCATCACACTCCAGAGTTAAATGCAGAACTTGGCTGCCTAGCTCAGCTTCTGCACTGGCCCTTCCATGCACAGCACATGTACACTAGATGCTACTGTAAATTAAATGAACCAAACCAACAGGCTGGGAAGGGAAGAGGGAGATTGTTCTTTCTACTAGAAAATGTTTGGGAGATTTCAGGTGGGATGGCAATAAGCAGCTAGCTAGACAGACATGGGCAGAGGGGGATGCGATGACTGTGGGGAAAAATAAGTGGTATAACAGCTGGCCAGGGGTTTGTCTTTCCTTAGCACTCATTTGCCAAGGATGTTAAGGTGCTTTATATACACGCATTGGCTAAGACTTACAAGTGCCCTCTGGGAGCACATGTGGTCAAGGCCTTGACTTCCTGTCTCATGAGAAATGTGACACCTTCCATAGAGGAGACTAAGGGTGTAGGCACACATTCACTTGCAATGGTTGCAAATCATTTGAATGCTGTAATGCAGGGACTGTCAACTGGGGGTACGCATGAAAAGTCCCAGGGGGTATGCGGGGGCAGGTAGAGACAGAGTGCCACCACCTCACACTGCCTCCTCACAGGAGCAGGGCCGGGTGAGAACAGGGCCTCACAGATGCTGCGTCTCCAGGTGCCAGAGTGAGGCAGGGAAGCTGGTTTGGAAAATGGCAAAAGCTATTGTGAACCCAGGAAGAAAGGGAAGTGTGAACTTAGGCAGCTGCATGAACGGGGGAGGGAGTGGGAGGGATGGAGCAGTTCTACAAGCATCAGTCGGAAGAGGAATCAGGCTGAGAGAACAGTGTCCAGGTGAGGTGAGACTGCTTCCTATGGGACCTCTCTTGTCTCAGACCTTATCTCTTTCTGCTGTATATCTGTCAACTGGGTGGTGTTCTCAGCAGGCTTGTTTCCAGGTTGAGTTTCGTTGTTATTTCCTACCTAAGTATCTAATTTCTTCAGGGCCCTTTGGTTTGCTCTTCTGTCTTGTGACTCCCATGTTGACCGGACCTGCCCTGAACAGAGTTAGATGACTTGGATTTAAAGGTGCTGGTGGCAGATCCAGCTGGGCTCTTTAGCTTTGGAACAGGGAGGGAGAGGGGGAGGAGAATTTGTCTTACTCCTTTCCCTCCAGCCAGGACATTCATACTCCATTTCAAAAGTGGTGGGAAGTCTGAAGGGCATGCTCTGTTCTGAATGCCCCTCACCAGTTTCGCACAAGTTATGGACCTGGCTTTGTTTCTCTGTCCCATGCCAGACGCCCCTGCTCTGTCCCTTGCTCTTCAGTCTCTCTCTCCTTGTCTCTTAGATGAGTTGGGCATCTGCCCCAAGGGTGTCACCTCCAACGTGTTTCGCTTCAACGTGTCATCAGCAGAGAAGAACAGCACTAACCTGTTCCGGGCCGAGTTCCGGGTCCTGCGAGTGCCCAACCTAAGCTCCAAACGCGCTGAGCAGCGCATTGAGCTCTTCCAGGTGAGAGCTCACACCACCATCTGAGCATGGGGGGCAGACTGAAAAAGTAGGTCTGCTGTGGATCCTCAGTGAAAACCTCAAGCAGGGTGGGCAAGAGCATGGAGCAAAGATGGGTGAAAACCCTTTTTAGTCCACTTTCTACATCCTGTTTGAAGCAGGCAGCCAGCCTTGCCTTGCCTTGCCTTACCTTTTCATGCCCTTCTACTCTTCAGGTGTTCTGTCCCCTTTGGGATCCTGCCCGGTTTCTTGCTACCTTGCTTTCAGACACTCTGAGCATCCCGCTATGGCGCTGCCTCCTCAGAGGCTCCTTGCTGCCATTATGATGAGGGAGTTGGAGAGGGGAGCCTCTAGTTACCAGTGAAGTGCCATCAGAAGGACCCCTGCTTCCATAAGCTTTGGCTCCCCTTGGGTCATGTCTTGCCTGTGTGAGTGACATGGCAGATAGTGGTATGCCAAGGAGAGGACTCTTCTGTCCAGGTCATACATAACCTGTTTCCTCTTCTTAGCAATGTAAGGGTGATAGGGAGAGGCAATGTAAGGGTGATAGGGACAGGAAAAACTTACAGAAGGACATGGTAGAACAGAGAGGCAGAGATTAGCTGGGAGTTCCCAGTAAAAACAGACCAACCTCACCTGCATGTAGGTTCTTTTGGGTTGTCCCTTCACTGAATGGCTAATCTGGACTCCTTCTTGGGCTTTGCTCCCATCTACACAGAATAACTTCTGGTCTGAGTCTGGAGGCACTGTAAGCCTCAACTGGCTTACCCAACAGAGGTATCGTTTAGAACAGTGATTCTCAACTAGGGTGCCATGGCATTTTTGAGGTCCTTTCAAGGATGCTGTGAGGTTCCATACAACGTTAGCACTTTTAGATTTACAAACATGATTCGTAAGATAAACCCAGAAATTTCAAATAGAAATCCATAGTTGTGGCCTGAATTCTGTACAACAAAGACTGCTCTATTGTTTTTCTGCAGTTAAAAAAAAAAAAAAAAAGAATGAAAACTAAGAACTGGTATTTCTGAGGGGAGCCTCAAGTCTGAAAAGGTTGAGAACCGTGGAATTAGAACCTGGTCTCCAGTATAAAACAGGCAGGCTTGAACCTGCCCATTTCATAGTCAGGATGTGGGCAACGAGGATGCAGTGCTGATCATCCTCCAGTACCTTCCCATGATTCCCCTCAACAATCAGAGAAGTTCTCCCTATTGATGCAACTGATTGGGAAAGA